TTGAAATAATATTGTTGGGTTTACTGATTACTACATAAGGACACATTGCAAATATAAATTTAGATAGGCAATATTGTAAAATTAATTTAGGTTGGTATACCTGTATGGGTGGTACACCTGGATGGTTTACCTGTATGGGATATCTATATAGCATTAATAGCGTTAGCTTCGCGTTAGTTTCTAGTTTAATCTTCCTCTTTGATCACTTGGTGATCGAAACACGTGTTGAGGTGTTAAAAAAAAATAACGATTTGGTGTTGGGAGAAAAATCCAGTAATAGGTCATTTTCAAACGAATACAATAACTTTTTTGTATTTGTCCTTGGTATATTTGAGTATGCGAAAATTCTGGTCAAAGAGAGTCCGCCCGAGCTCACAATCGACCAAAAACAACGAATTGACAATTCGACATTTGAAGAAAAAGAAAGTGCTGCTTAATCAAAACGATACACCGTATCACAAATTAATGGACACGATGATGAAATTACATAAATTGGGTTTGGAATGTTTCCGCATCCACCATATTCACCAGATCTAGTCCCCGGCGACTCTTTCCTGTTCTCAAACCTCAAGAGAATGCTCGCTGCGATGAAATTTAGCGTCGATAAAGAGGTAATCGTCAAAGCTGAGGCCTATTTTGAGGCTAAAGACAAATCGTACTATAAAAACTGTATCGGAAAATTGTATGACCGATATAATTGCTGTGTCGCCTTCAAAGGCAACTATATTGAACGATGAAATCAAATTTTACCAAGTTTTTTTATGTCGGCCTACGAACTCTTCGACTCAAGTGTTACATTCATTTTTACTTCTTCTACTGTAATTGTTGAACCTTCCTCGTAAATATTTTTGGGGCGCTGCATATGTAATTATCATAATAAATATGAAAAAGATCAAAGGTGGGTCTGGCTTCAACAAAGGACTAATATACATTCGTAATTGATTGAATCTAAAGTCATTGTAGATCAAATCACTAACCAAACGGTCGATAACCGAGCAATTTATACTGGTAGTTCATTTGCCTTTAGTATTTTGTTTGATGCAGGAGTGACTGAAGTATGTTGTGATTAAAAAAATGTTTTAAAGGTAAGCTGAAAAATATTTTTTTGCAGACAATGAGTTTTCTTAAAAATGTTCAAATTACAATTGGGATTTTACAGGATTTTCAAAAAATTATCGTAATTTTAGAAGTTAATGACAATTCAAATACGATTATGAAATACGATATCAGAACTATTAGAACTATCAAGGATAAACAGTTTTACTTAATACTAATTATTATATTATGACCAAAATCACACAAAACCTTTGTAAATTGTAGTATAAACAATGTGTCTCACTTCTCATGGAAACACCCCCGTATCTCGTGATACGGGAGTCTTTCCATAAGAAGTGAAACAAATTCGGATTTTTCAGGACTGAAATTTGTTCAGGAAAAAAGTATTTTCGAAGTTTGTAGTCCTGATCACGAATCTGAAGGAATTTTGAGCCTATTTTGCCCCCTAATATGGTTTACCGTAAAAATGGGGTGTTCCATCGCGAGTGGCGGACAGTGTATATCACTTTGGCCAACCTCCTTCAGGTGGTAGGTGCATTTTTAGCATTCACATCAGTCCTGAGAGTTTCATCGTTCTACCTCGAATATTACAGAAGATACGGGGCTGTTTCCATGAGAAGTGAGACACAATGTATGTTAATCTGATGTATAAGCTGTATTTATGTAAAGTTTCATCTAAATCCGTTCAATCGTTTAGGCGTGAAAGAGCCACAAACATACATTCAATTCAATTCAATTTATTAACTTATTTGATAACAATACATATATTTTGGTTACTGATATATAGAGGCATCTGGTTTCGGTACCGTTCCAGTTGTTTTTAAATTTAATCAATCAGAAAGAAGTTTATCGTCATAATGAGGAGTAACCAACGGAGAGAACAGGGATTGGTTCATTTATATTAATAAAGATTTCGATATATCTTGTGTCATAAAAATGTAAATAATTTTTGTTATATCCTACGGTTTGATAAATCCACCTTTTCAAATTCTGGTAAAACAATTTAAAGAACAAGGACAATAATGATTTATAGACACTAATCGATTCACCTGCATTTTTCTGTTTGGGTTGTTATTGTTGTTAAATAATTTTTATCGTTGATTCATTTTTAAATTAGCGCTCATCAAGTCGAATACCAAGTTTTCAAGGTTTTGAACAATTTTTACAGGTTTAACATGTTTTTGAAACATTTTACAGGCGTTCGTTCTCACTGAATCCTTGAAAATGTGTACTTACTCACAACTGTTTCATTTTTGAGTAAAAATAGTAAGTATTTCATTCACAAGCAAGGTTAAAACACGGCTGTCTCTTATTTGGACTCAGAAGTCTAATCAGGTACAGCTTGGCAAATCAAGATGAAGAGAGATGATAATTTTGCATGCAAACATGCCTTGGAAACTCAATTATTTGGAATTCAGGTACTCAGTTAAGTCTGTTATTACCTACAGTGGTAGGTAACTTTTGCCTAAAATTATAGGTGTCACACGTACGAATTGAAAAATTAAACAAATCATCAGCTGTGCGCCCAGATGAAACATCATGAAAACCCATAAAACGTTTTACCACATTACCATCTTTGACCTTTGACATATCTAAAAACGATTGAAAGTTGTGATGTACAGGTAATATAGGCAGTTTCATCAATTTCCCATGCAAAAAAAGAAACACTTTCAATCTCCTTGCTTATACTTTCGTTAATAATATATGCCACACTGTCTATAAGCTCATTTTTGATGATTTTTGAGGTGCCCGAAGAAACGCTACCGTTTAAAAAAGTGCCAAATTGTGAATCATATTTGCCCCATAACATTAAAAGTTTCGTGCCTGAAGGATTTGATATTGGTGTATAAATCAGGGAGAAGCTGTTTTTCTCCTTGCAATCTCAAATTCAGTTCGTTCATATGATCTGTCAAATCGACATAGAAGGCTAACTTCCATATCCATTTACTATTTTCTAAATCGGTAAAAGGGCGCTGCTTCTCATTTAGAAAACTTTCGATCTCTGCTCGAAGTTCAAAAAAGCGCTTAAGGACTTTTCCGCAACTAAGCCAGCGTACGGCAGTATGATATGGTAAATCATTTTCTCCAATCTGTTGAATAAACTCGCGGAATTGTCGGTGATTCAGCCCAGTGGATCTGATGAAGTTAACAACTGATATGACTGGTTTTAGAACTTCAGACATATCCAAACATT